TCAAAAATGAGAACTTTTGATTTGTGTTTCTTTTTCATTGACACGACTATATCTATATAATCTAGACAAATAAATAATATATTATATAAATATGATAAAATATACTAATAATATATATATAATAATTATAAATGAGAGAAGAGATCGCAAAATAATAATGCGTAGTCTCATAAATGTCTCACTTATAAGCTGAAGCAATCTACGCTACAGAAGCAACACTGAAGATATGAAGATGATATTCCGAAGTATAATTAAAAAACATACGCCGTAATCTTTTTTGTAAAATGGAATAGTGAAAAATTTAAGAGATTCACAACTTTTCTTATTTCGAAGTCATTATGTGATGGAAATATTATATTATATCAAATGCGTAGCAATTGCAAAATTATAATATTAAACAAATTAAATAATAATAAATAATTTTATGCAGGATGTATTTGTTGTTTAATCCCTTTAATATTTCCACTTTTCAATCGAACTTCACTCCCGCATAAACTTGCTCCAACCTCATTTCCCGTATTTTCGGCGCTTGAACGATATGCTCAATTGCGTTAATGCATTCATACAATTTTCCTATGCAACTTGAGTTAAATAGGAAGTCGGGCAATATCTCCGCGTCGTAAATGCCGTGCATTTCGCGCGAACCATTAACAATTCGGCTAGCTGATTGCGCGGAGAGTAAAGAGATTGCCAAAATTTGGACGGAAGACGCGCGACGTGCGCGAGGATGGGACAGCTCAAAAAGAAGGAAACGGATCTATCCCTTTAATCTAGCCTTGGACGAAGTGGTCGTGTCGTCTAGCCATGAGCAAATTCTCGCCCTCTTCTCGTCCCCTCAGCGCGTCGCCTCGCCGCGCCGCGCTGGTTCGAAATGGAACGAGGGGAGACAGTTGCGTTTGCGTCCCGATTAGAATGGATTTCATCGTCGCGGATTTCAAGAACGCTCTCCCGCGAGAATGTAGCGGAACGAAACCGGAGACGATAAATCTGCGCGCGCGACATTGGTTCCGCGGTTTCCTCCTCGCGAGAATGCGAAGAAGCGGTCGCGGGGGCGGTTCGAGACGCGATTCTGATTATCGACATATCCGTTCGCCTTAACGCACTTATTCGGAAATTCTAAAGGTCAGCTAAAATAAATCCGCATTCGTGAAAGCCACGATAAATTAGCCAGGATATCACTGCGCGCGAGGAGAACCGGTGAATTTCCGCGTTACTTCCCCCCTCCTGGCCGTGAAATAATTCCTTGCAAATGTCGCGTTTGACTTTTTCTCGCAAGAGCTACCCAAGTTACATTCTGTGCGAGGATGATATCTCGCACGTTCCCATTTACGTAAATCTCGCCGTTGTCTGCTGAGAGTGCTGAGCTCCGAAGCGCAAATGGCTCGATCGTGGATCCTTCGCGCGATCAAAAATTCCGGGATCGGGAATTATCCGCGGCGATTCCTTCGCGCGAAAAAAGAAAAAAAAAGCGCGATACGGGGACAGCGATGAGACAGGCAGCGCGACATTCGTACACTGACCTTATAACGAACATGTGTGTCCCGTGGTCCCTGGATGGACAGTCATTGGGTCTCACACGGGGTAGCTCGTAGTACTCAGACGACGAAGCTTCGGGTACGTATAATCCACGCACGCACGCAATGTCCTCGCACGATCTTGACGCGGTAACCTCGCGACGGTCACGCGTGCGAATTACACGCGTGCGTGCGCCGCGCCGTCGTACGATCCTCGTGGCGTCCGGTGTCGCGATCGTCACCAAAAAACTGAACCGACCTCACGATCCCTCGGCGGTACCTCACAATTTCGCGGTCTCCACGAGATTCACGCCAGTGTAACTTTCTCCTTGTCTTCTTCTCTTCTTCTTTTTATTCTTCTTCCTCGTTTGGGACACCGTTTACGCGCGATCGCTCTTTTCGCGCCGCGCGAATTGCCGATAAAATTAAACCGCCGCGTCTTGTGGAGGAAATATCCGGAAGTATCGGAGGAAGTAGACGGTGGAAGACAATGATGACGAGAACGTGAATGACGACGATGACGACGACGACGACGACGACGACGGCGACGACGACGACGACGGCGACGACGACGACGACGGTGTCTCGTGGCGGTGGTCGATAGCGCGGCGCTCTACTGACGTCGCGACGCCTCGTCGTGTCGTGGCCCGCGGCTCCTGCCCGCCCACCCCCCGTGGCGCCCCACGACGCCCTCACTCACTCCGGAACAACCCGGAAACTGACGAACCACCGCCCCCGCCCCCGCAAACTACCCTTATTTCGTGCCCCCACTTGCAATGTTGCCACCACCACCGCTGCCGCCGCCGACGTCGTCGTCGTCGTCGTCGTCGTCGTCGTCGCCGCCGCTACCACCGCCACCGCCGCCACCGCCGCCGCCGCCGTCACCCGAAGGACGATTTCGACTCCTCCACGCAGAGGAGGCATCCACCCACGATGTCTCTTTCTCCTTCCTCTTGTCTGTTCCTTCCTCTCCTAGTATCCACGATATTTCGGAATGACTTCGATTCGATCGCGTCTGACGCTGAAGGGCGAGACGGACTTCCGGCAGCCAGCATTCCAGAGTCGCGACTTCGTTACGCTATAAAGTCTTGCATCATGCGCGATAACGAGTTTGAGTGAGAAGACGGAACTGCCTCTTGTCCTATCGCTAATACAATCGATTGTTGCGCCATTTGATTCGTAAAAATGTAGTGGAAACTTAGCAGTCTTCCTAGAACTGATGGTTGTTTTCAGTTTCATTGTTATCCAACGGGTATCCGATAATGTCCATTCAGAGTTAAATTTAGATCAGATTTACGACCGATGAGTCACATATAAGATTGCACGATATTGGACATCCTTTCCTCAGTACGTTTCATTGAAATAAAAATGTCAGCGATATCGTCATTGAATGAATATCCGCGCGTTTTTGCGTGCGTGCGTGCGTGCGTGCGTGCGTGCGTGCGTGTGCGTGTGCGTGTGCGTGTGCGTGTGTGTGTGTGTGTGTGAAAAACATAGAGAGAGAGAGAATGTAAATGCATGTTTATGCGCGCGTGTAGTCAGCTGATCGTCGCGACGGTCCCGCGTACCGCCTGCCGGCGGACAGTCAGTTGCGCCGCCCCTGTCTACCATCCGTACGCGGCCCGTAATTTGCTAACTATTTCTCGTTATAATTTAAAAACTAAGCTTCGGACAAAATTTTTGTAAAGGAAAAATCGTCTTAGAACTGAGTCAAGAATACGTCTTTTCAAGA